TTGTATTTAACTCACTGCCACAAGTTCTGCTTTTCTCTCCAACGAGATTTCCGTTCCAATCTTTCTTCTTGTCCACCAACGTTAATTTCACTGTCACTCCTGGTGTTTGACCAGATATTTGCTGAAACTCATTTCCACAGCCATATCACATTCCTCAGTGACTGCCTCCAGCTCAGACTCACCCCATGTGTATTCCAACTGAAGTTTCATCCCTCATGTTTTGAATCCTCCCAGGATCACAGGTATCTCTGTGATGTTCAACGTTCCACAGACAGCTGCTCTCGCTGCATCCTGAGATCCACACTCAGTGCCATGCGGCACCACATGCACACTCTCAACCTTTCTCTCCAACAGCATCACATCACACTGGCTCAGATTGCACCACTCTGCAGTTCCACTTCATCCTTTGGCTCATTTGCCATGCTGAAAATAAACTTTTTCTGTTCCTTTCAGGCATCAAGGCCCACAGGATGCAATAACAGAGCTACCCATGGCCCTCTGGAACCTTCCTGTCCCCCCCTCCTCTCTGACTCCATCCCCTCTCCCCCCCCCCCCTCCTGTCGAGTATTCATCATCCTTCCTAACCTTCTGCTTTCCCATGCTGAACATTGTGTACTCAGCAAAGGCCTCAGCTTTATCCTTATCGAATTTCGGGCATGACATGACATCAAACTCTTCTTCCACAGACCCCTTTGCCCAGTTCCAACACTCTCCCCCAACCTGGACCCCTCCCTCTGGCCTTTTACCTGCACACGATCTGTTCAAGGAGAACTATTGGCTTGACATTGGTCGCCTCAATTTCTCTGATCCTCCCCTCACCCAATCCAACCTATCTCCCCCTGAACTGACTGCACTCCATGAGCTTAGATCTAACCCTGACTTTGTTATTAAGCCTGCCGATAAGGCTGGTGCTGTTGTAGTCTGGCGTACTGACCTCTACCTTGCAGATGCTGAGTGCCAGCTCTCAGATACCTCCTCCTACCTTCCCCTGGACTATGGCACATCAATCCATTGTATCAGCTATGGTAGCTAACGTCATTTCATCCAGTGATCTCCCCCCGACTGTCTCCGAGCTGATAGTACCCCAGCCCGCACAGTTCACTTCTACCTCCTTCCAAACATCCACAAACAGGACTGTTCAGGCAGACCCATTGTTTCAGCCTGCTCCTGCCCCACAGAACTCATCTCTTCCTACCTTGACTCAGTCTGTTCTCCCCTGCTCCAGTCCCTGCCCGCATACGTCTGTGATTCCTGTGATGCTTTACACCAGTTTCTGAATTTCCAGTTTGCAGGCTCCAGCCGCCTCCTCTTTACCATGGACGCACAATCCCTTTACACATCCATCCCCCAACAAACGGTCTCAGGGATCTCAGCTTCTTCCTGGAGCAAAGCCTGAATCACCCCCATCTACCACCACCCTCCTACATTTGGCTGAGCTCGCCCTCACCCTCAACAACTTCTCTTTTAACTGCTGTCATTAAAAAAAATGCAGAGTCGCTAAGCAGAAGCTGATAGCCAAGTTCCATACCCTCAAACGTGATCTTGGGTTCATGTCATGCTACATGTGATCCCACTATACTGTTCTGTATCTGTAAACTCTTCCTTACTGTCCTGTTTTGACATCATCACCTTGATAACTTGTTATGATCTCTCTACCATAACTAGTTTGTACAGTTTTGGATTATTTATTACTTTGGTTAGACCCCCGGCATGCGACTGTTAAACCTATCATGTTATTCCAGTCATTTAGTTTGTTTCCAGCACCACCTCATTTTTAAGTTTGTAACTATCTCTCTGCCTCAATTAATCGGATTACAGGTCATCCCTTTGCGTGTTATTCAGCTGTTGGCACTTTACTCACACCATCTGACACTCTTGCTCACTTGCAGACACTTATTCAGCCTGTTACACTCTATTTACGCTATTTGTATGATATTTTGATCTCTCTGCCTATAAATTCTGTGCCCGTTTGCTTTTTTTCACTTCACCTGACGAAGAAGCAGCGCTCCCAAAGCCTGTGATTTCAAATAAACCTGTTGGACTATAACCTGGCGTCGTGTGATTTCTGACCTTGTCCTCCCCAGTCCAACACCGGCACCTCCACATCACGGCTACTATCCCTAGTAAGTACAATAACAGTTCATTGTTGAACTTCAGCTCTGTAATTGAAAAAGAAAGATGTTTAAGGAATGATTGTTAAGAACAGAGGTTAACATGAAATGCTGTAAATGTGCATCTAAAGGGAGTAATCCAACCTCTCACTGTGCTGAAATTGCAGTACATTAACTTTTAATTTATTCTGCTCTTCATATTGCAATTATCCTTCCTGCAAACACAAACTGGATCTATGGACATTTTAAAAGAGGAGCATTTGGGTAGCTCTGATGGCATTGAGTATAATTTACCTCTAATCCATGCCATCTCTACAATGCACTATGCAGAACTTCTTGTATTTAACTTAATCCTTTATCCCTTGCACATTAGTACTAAATGAACTTCAATGAAGCAAGTCTGACATCCACAGTGAAAGCAGGGGCCGTCACATTATGTCCTTGTATCTTTTTCTGTGGTAAATTGATCCTTTGCAAGCAAACTGCACCATTTACTAAGCTTTCTTTTCCATGCCAGCTGTCTAATTTGCAGCATTAAAATGAGAATGTATTATGTGCTTATGGTGAATGAGTATATTTTCACTGAACCAGAACAAAAGATGCAAGTCTGAGAACAAATTTAATCCATTTCTCGGTCAGACTGCAAATATTCAAGAGCTTCTGATGCATGGAATATGCAGAGCAGAGACAGGCCATTCAGCCCAATTTGTCTGTGTTGACCTTTTTTGATGCTCTACACAACATCTCCTCGAACTTCTGTTCATCTCACTCTATCAGCATAACCTTTTATTCCTTTTCTGCCTCAGATGCAAAACTAACTTTTCCTGTAATGTATAAGGGTTCTAAATGGGCAAGTTCTGGTGATGAGGCATTTGGCAAAATGCCTCTGACAGTCTGCTTAGGGAACCACGTGACAGGATCCATCCTCTCCTTTTCCCAAAGTGTCTCAAGGACACTACATGCTGATCACTTCCCGACGGACTGTGGTCAAAGGTGTTTTTCTTTGCAAATTTCTCCATGACGGACAGATGATACGGAATGGTCCAACTACTCAGGGTGTTCCACAGCTATGGGGCCTGACCAATCCTTCGCCACACTGTGGACAGATAGAACCTCGGTACTTTGTGATACTTAGTGTGTGTGTGTACTGAGGGTCTACACACAGCTGCACACAAAGGGGCCAGGATGAGGGCAGCATTGGATACATCCTCCCCCCACCCTCATAATTTTAGGGTTTTTTTTAAACCTAGTGTCCCTGCGGACACAGTCCATCTTTGATCTCCAGATGAAGTGGAAGATGGCTCGAGTGACTGTAGTGGTGCAGACTCAGGGAATGTGGCAGACCTGCACCACATGCAAGAACACTAAGAGTACCTCACATTTATGACCAGGTTTTTACCCGCGATGGAGACGGAACGATACTCCCATCTGCCCTGTTTCTGCCTCACCCTAGTGATGCACTCCTCCCATGCTGCTTGCACATGCTGCAGCCCCTCCAAACCATATTCCCAGCATCTTCAGGTAATCTGTCCTGATGGTGAAGGGGTTAAAGGATTGTTCGACCCAGTTCCTAAAGAACATGGCCTCACTCTTTCCTCAATTTATCTTGGCCCTGAGGCCAGTTCAAAATGCCTGTGAGTCTACGGACTGACTGCAGATCCAAGCAGAAAATGGTGTGGTTGCCAGTCATTTTACCTCTAAGGTTTAAGTTGTGTTCGGGCACGGTCTTGAAGAAGTTGTAAATTGCAACAACCAGACTATGCACAACCAGTTTAACAAAAGAAGGGTCACTGGATTCGACACGAGTTAACTGTGCTTTCTCCTTCTGCAGATGCTGCCAGGCCTGCTGAGTGTCTCCAGCAATTTCTGTTTCTGATTTCCAACATCCTCAGTTCTTTGATGTTTTCGTCTAGTGTTACAGTGAATGTTGGTCACAGATCATAAATGGCAGTTGCTTTTTACTAATGTAAAGATGTGACCACATACTTACCCCTTCAGATGTTGCAGAGATGTCAAGCACTCTTACTTATCTAAAGGAGGAAGTGGTATGCTAAGTGCACCTTCCAACATTCACACTCAATCAGCATTTCATTTCCAACTTTATTGTGGTGGTAAGCATTCAGGGTTTTGTGTCTGGATTTAATTGAGAATGCATTATTAAGGTTAGCTGGAAATATGAACAGCATTGATGCGACAGAACCAAAAGTCAAAATCCCTCTATTCCAGCAATAATTTTAGGTAACTGACCTTTATACAATGTTCATTGATGAAGTGGAGTGGCAGGTGGACAGTTTAATTTGTCCCCTTTTGCATCCTGCTATTTACTGTCCTGTCCATAGATTGAAACTATAAACAACAAAAGCATGCCTGTGTTAGATATGCCACAAAATCAGCTTCCATCTACATGGGAATTTTTTTCCAAAAATATACTTTAGATTTAGATTTTACTGTCACGTGTACTCAAGTACAGGAGTACAGTGAAAAGTTTTAAACATTGCCACACACAGCACCATCTTAGGTACAAAGGTACCGAGGCACAAAGTAGTAAAAGAGAGGAACAAAGTTAAAAAAAGTTAAACATTACAGACCTTCATAGAATAAGCAAAAAAAAAAGAAATAAGGTAATAGTTAACATTAAAGTCCTCCTTAACATAACCTAGAAAAATAAAGGAATAAAGTTAAAAGTTCAATAATCTTTCTTGAGTGTTTAGCTGTGCTGGGGCCCAATCTCGTCCGCTCAGCTCACTCTCCGGGAAATCTTAGCTGCGGTGTTGCCGCTGCAGATACCCCCTCACCGTTACTCTGCCCGCCTAAGGCCGCGATGCCATTGCTGATGCCGCTGAATCTGCCACCTCCGATTTCCTCCTGCTGCCTCCGAAATATCCGCAGGCAGGACCTGCACACAGCCTCCGATTACCCGGGAACGCGCTGGGTCCTGCTCTCACCTGGACACTGGACCGAAAGAACCCCCACTCCGAGCCAAGAGACCGCCACAGGCCTGCTCTGACACAGCACCATGCCAGGCTAAGAGACCACCACAGGCTGCCAAAAAAGTCGCCCTCGCCGAACTGAGAGGCTGCCACTTTGGCTCCTGGCTGAGGCCGGGAGTTCAGGACATTGCCAAGAAGAAAGAAGAAAACAAATATAAAGAAAGAAACAGTCAGAGCATACGAGCTCCAAATGAAGCATCCTACTCAGCCGCCATCTTAAAAAAAATTGTCAAAGTACATTCCAAAACATTTCACATTGAATATTATAGGAAGTACAGCTTATCTCCGTAAAGTGTGTTTCACTTTGAGATGCCTCAATTTGATTTTAATACTTTAGACATTTACAAAATACACCTTATGTCAGGCGTGAGACATAGAACACATGAGCAAGAGTAGGCCATTCAGCCCTTCGAGTCTGCTTCGCCATTCAACATGATCACTGCTGATTATCCAACTGAGTGCCTTGTTTCTGCTTTCTCCTCATACCCTTTGATCCATTTAGCCTTAAGAACTAGATCCAATTCCTTCTTGAAAATATTCAATGTTTTGGCCTCAATCGCTTTCTGTACCAGAAAATTCCACAGACTCACCACTCTCTGGGTGAAGACATTTCTCCTCATTTCAGTCCTCACTGGCCTTAGACTGACCGCTTGTTCTGGACTCCCCAGTTGTTGGAAACATCCTTCCTGGGTCTACCCTGTCTAGTCCTGTCAGCATTTTATAGGTTTTTGCTGAATGGATAAGCACGAAAGAAAAACGAGGAGAAAAAAAAAAACGTTAGCAGGTCAGGCAGCATCTGAGGAGAGAAACAGAATGAATGGATAAGGCTGGTAACCATTCATACAGCTCTAGGGGTGCACACATTTGCCAGCCTCTCAGTGTGCAGAAGCTGAAAGTGGTTCGATAAGCATCCTTCCCCCACCGTACATCTGTTACAGTTACCCCAAGCTTTAATATGGCAGTCTACAAAACTCAACTGTTGACAGATCATTGCACTAGCAGATCAGCAGATTTACATACACAGGGTTGAAAGTAAGAAGAAATGGTGATGTAGATGTGGGTTTTCATTTTTAACAGATTACAAAGAATGTATGAAGCTTATTTCAGACACTGTGACACTTGTTTCTGGTGCACTTTAGCACCACTATGATTGAAAGCAAGCGATATTGGTTGAAAGATCCAGTCAACTAAGTGATAGATTGAGATCCCTGAACAATGCTGACTGAGTGAAAGAATTATCATAAGAAGAGCGAACCAACTACTTATAGCTTTCTGGCTTAAATTGTCCCACTTACTCCCCTCCTGCTTGGGGAGACCATTATTTGAAAAAAAAGGCAACATAATATACAACTAGATGTGGTTGCAATGTGAATGTGCCTTTGTTGACTTGGAGGTTGATTTGTTGTTGGTATACGTTAGGAGAGCCTGGAGCCAAATTTAATCATTCAGTACGGTGCACGTATGTTGACATGTAATTTTCCGAATGATTGCTTCAACAAAAGAAAACAACACATTAAGAACACACCCCTGTTCTACCATTCTCACATTCCAATCACGTAATCTGCGCTATCAGCACCCTTTCACTCCCAGCACTCCAAACACATCCACCCACCCATTGCATAAATACTGCCCCCTCCATACTTCATGTCAGCTCTGATGATCACTCATTGAGTCATTGAGTCCTACAGCATGGAAACAGGCCCTTCGGCCCATAACTGGTCCATGCTGACCAAAATGTCCATCCACGCTAATCCCATTTCCCTGCACTTGGCCCATATCCTTCTAAACCTTTCCTGTGCATGTATTCATCCAAATGCCTTTTAAATGTTGTTAATGTACCCACTTCAACCGCCTCTGCTGGCAGCTCATTTCATATGCATACTACCCTCTGTGTAAAAAAGTTGCCCCTCAGGTTCCCATGTATTCTTTCCCCTCTTACCTTAAACTGATGCCCTCTAGTCCTCAATTGCCCAACCCTGGGATAAAGACTGAGTGTATTCACCCTGTCCATGCCTCTCATGATCTTATACACTTCAATAAGTTTCCTCCTCAGTCTCCTACACTGTAAAGAAAAAAAAGTTCTAGCTTGTCCAACCTCTCCCTTAAACTCAGTCCCTTGAATCCTGGCAACATCCTTATAATTTTTTTCTGCACTCTTTCCAGTTTAACAACATCCTTTCTATAGCAAGGTGACCAAAACTGAACACA